TGCCTTCTTGATATAAGAGAGCAGAGCTTCTACATCACTGGCTTAGTAATATGAAAGGCAAGTAGCTTCTGCAAGTACAAAGGCCCTGAATTCAAGACCAAGAAATCCCCAACACCACATAGATTCTATCCATATCTCCTGTCCTACTATTTTAATAAATCCATACTGGGAGAATCCTTAGATATTTTTCTAAGGTTTTGTTATCAGAATTGAAGAGTTACTCTGAGAAATGGAAGCTCTGTTGTATTTTTTTATGATGGTCTTGGGAGCCCTGGCTAGTGTATCAGAAAGTATAAGAAGATATAATCTTGTTTTGAAGGACTTATACATCTCTTCATGTTCTATACAAACTCTATAATGACTAAATTTTAAATGGTGTCAGCTAGTGTTTCAAGTTATTAGTAACAGTTTTGTTCATTAAGTGTCAAGGGACTTTAAAATAGGAAACCTTATTTTTAGCCCTGACTCTGAACAGAAATAGCTTCTTATTAGATGTTTGACACTATTATAAGATTACTGCCTGTAGCAGTCCATTTAATCCCCACAACAAAAATTTCAGGTAGAGAGTAAGATTATCCCCAAAGGCTAAGACACAGAGACATTAAATAAACTGCCTGATATCACATAGTAACTGTTGCTCATACCAAGAGAACAAACAACTTCCAGGTAGGGAGTCTAGAGCTGCCATCATCATTGTGGTGGTAGCATGGCTTAGCCCACAGCACCCATTCCAGTCCTTGTCTCTCCTAAAGTGCACTCCTCTAACACAGGATCTGCCCCAAAAGTATATTTCCCAGACTTCTGTGCAACCACTTTTTGGATGCAAATTTGGTCTCTTCATTTAGCAATGTCTGTGCAAGATTGGGAAGGTGGAAGTAAAATGTGGGATCTTCCCACTTTTTGGCTGCTGCAAGCATGGCCTTGAGAAACTGAGCTTTCCTACAGCAGTGTCCACTCACCAGCTTCATGAATATCAACAGGCAGTGGCAATGGCCTCTTTTTGCCGCTGGTTGCTCACCATCTTTATGGGAGGAGAGGCAGTTGCTCTAGCATGAGCATTTGCCTCTTCTGTCTGGATTGCAACTGTTGTTCTGAGTTCTTGTACTTATCAGGTACAGCCTTTCTGAGTGAGGCAAAAGCAGAAGCCTTGGTGTGAGCCAGTTAGGGTTATTGCTAGAGTCCCTACCTAGAGCCCACTTCTGAATTCCCATCATTAAACCTCTTTCTGTATTTAAGATGTAGAGTCATTCTGTTTTTCTGCAGGTGACCCAACCAATACACTTGGATTCCTAAACAAAGCTAGTTAACTTTTCTAACAAGTGATGAAAATGCCTTTGAGGAAGAGATTGTATCTTAGGAAAGAAGGTCTGGCAAGAATACAGACTGTTTTGTTGCCTTGCTTGATATTTGTTATTACATGTCATTATTAGTGTCGGGGAAGGAGATACTTATCTGGACCAATTGCTAGTTCCTTGACATGTGTTATGCTTAAACATGTAGACAAACCATATATTTTTCTCTTTAAAATGTGTGCTATTTTGTTGTTTTTAGTCAGCCTTTTCCACCTCTTCCCACCCACCCACCCACCCCATCTTTTTCTTTTTTTGCTCCTGTGGTTCCTTAATACTTTACTTAGCCCATTTTTATACGTCCTATATCATAGTGAAATTGTTTTCTTGATTAAACCTCCAAATATATTAGAAACTCCCTGAGAACATAGACCATGTCCTGTTCACTAGTGTATTCCCAGGGTTTAACACAATGCCAGATGTGGAGAAAAGTATGCAATGCACATTTTATGATACACAATGCATGTCCCCCTTGTCACTATCTCTGAACACCTGACCATGACTATCAAAGTGAATGTTCAGCGATCAAAATGCATAAATACAGGTAAATTCCACCTCTTGGAGAATTTCCATAATGAGGCAAATTTCTACCTGGGTGTGAGACTCATTATATCTGTACTGGAGACCCAGGGAGCTAGGAAAATATTATGCTTTTTTGCAGAAATGAAGCAATTACTGTAAAAGACCTATTATGCAATCATCTTAGTAACCCAAACAGGGTTGTGAGCACACACTGTGAATATAAAGACAGGCAAATTTTGCAAACAAGTGATTTTTCCAAAAGGCACAAACAGTTCTTGCTGTTAATGAGGCAGAGATGTTATTATTCTATCCAGTAATCTTTGCAAAGAAGGGGCAGCCAAAAATGTATTATCAGCATACAGGTTACAAGTGCATTTACCAGTTATCTTATTTATCCCTCCCATGGGAGGCTGAAGATATTACTACCCTCCCAAACACACACACATTTTGCAGATGAGGAACCTAATGTATTAGAAGTTACACTACTGGTAAACAGCACAAAAGGCCTCATGAGCTAGGTCCTGTGGCTTTAGTTCATCCTGTTTTCTATTTTACCACTGCCTGTTTCCTAAGTCCAGCCAGTTCCAGGATGTGAACCATAGGCATCTTAGGAGGGAAAAGGGCAATCATGACTTACTTCCCTCTCTAAGGAGCTGGGGCTCTGGGCCCGCTCTCAGGAACCTTTGCTCAAGTTGTCCCTCCATACCTTATAATGGATTTGGACTCTCAAAACATGACTTTCTCCACAGTTTCAGCTCCTGCTAGCTCAGATAAGTACTTTTTGGTAAAGTAGAAATGACAAGAACCCTATAAAAGATAAAGGTAAAATTCATAGCCCTAACTTCAGTTTCTCTGAGAGTGTGGGGTCTGGAACCAAGGAACTGACAGTAAGTTTGGTCCTCTAGGATCTTTGCTCTTCAGGAATGCTGCATTTATTCCTCTCTGGGCATCAGCTTTAGAAATGACATCAATGGATTGTGATGAGAAGAGAAACAGCAGGAGGTGAAAGTATATAATCACCCACTAGGGCTCTCAGTGCCTCCAGACAGCAGGCTCTCCCCCACTCTAGTTCTCCACACATCCACCTTCATTTTCCACTCTGGGTCTCTTCTCCTTCAGTGCTCCCCTGATCACCCTGTTGGCTTCCTTTCTTGTGACTTATGTCAATGCACCCAGTTCTCTTCCTTCACATTTCTTATCACAAGTTACAATAATGCATTTATTTCTTTACTTTGTGTTTAAAGTTGTCTTGTCAATTAGTTGTAAGCTTTAGTTCACAAAAGACCATATTTTTATTGTTTATTCATTTATTCATATGTGCATACATTGTATGGGCCATCTCTCCCCACTGCCCTCTTCCCCCTCCTCTTCCTCCTCCCTCTCCCCCACAACCCCCTCACTTCCAGGCAGAACCTGTTCTGCCTCCTTCTCCAATTTTATTGAAGAGAAGATGTAAGCAATAATAAGAAAGACATAGTGTTTTTGCTAGTTTGAGATAAAGATAGCTATAGAGAGAGATTCCTAGCATTGCTTCCATGCACATACATATTACAACCCAAAATGGTTAATTTCTACCAGACCTTTTCACCACTGCCCGGTCACCTTCCCATAGTGGCCTGTGTCAGTTTAAGATTACTTTATTTTCTCCTCTACTTTGGGCACATCAAACACTTTTAAGTTTTGGGTTTTCTACCTTTCCCTATTCCTCCCGTATGCATTCTCCTCTTAGTGTGTGATCCATGTCCAATAATATTACTGCATTTATTTTAGATCTAAAGTCTGCATATGAGGGAGAACATACGATTCTTGGCCTTCTGAGCCTGGCTAACCTCGCTTAAGATGATGTTCTCCAGTTCCATCCATTTACTTGCAAATGACAAAATTTCATTCTTCTTCATGGCTGAGTAGAATTCCATTGTGTATAAATACCACATTTCCTTAATCCATTCATCAGTAGTGGGGCATCTTAGCTGTTTCCATAACTTGGCTATTGTGAATAGCGCTGCAATAAACATGGGTGTGCAGGTGCCTCTCGAGTAACCTGTGTCGCATTCCTTTGGTTATATCCTCAGGAGTGGGATTGCTGGATCATATGGCAGATCTATGTTTAGTTTTTTAAGAAGCCTCCATATGTTTTTCTGGAGTGCTTATACTAGCTTACATTCCCATCAGCAGTATATGAGGGTTCCTTTTTCCCTGCCATCCTCACCAACATTTGTTAGTGTTGGTGTTTTTGTGATGGCTATTCTAACAGGAGTGAGGTGGAATTTTGCTGTGATTTTGATTTGCATTTCCTTTATGTCCAGACAAGAGACCATACTGATTCTGCCAAACACCATAGCTGCTACACCTTTCCCACCATCTGGTACATAAATCCCACTTGCTGAAAGAAAAAATGAATACATAAGTTCATAAAGGGTAAGTTCATAGCATGAGTCATATGTGTAAGATGATTACAATGCCCAGGCTGGAAACGGAGTGAAATGGGGTAGGGTCCATGGGAACTGCGCCCCGGGATGGGAAGCATAATTGAGCATTTTCTTTATTCTGTCTCAAATGGGGATCAGCTTATAGAAGTTTCAGGAGGAAGAGGGGTTTTTACATTTCTTTTTTCCTTTTTTTATTATTGCAGTACTGGGGGTACATTGTGACATTTATAAAAGTTCTAACATTATATCATAGTTGAATTCACCCCCTCCATTATTCTCCTTTATCCATTCCTGGAAAAGTTTCAACAGGTCTTATTTTCCATTTTCATACATGAGTACATAAAATTTCCACCATATTCACAGGAAGAAGACTTTCATACTGAGATTTCACATATGTAAGAGCTGTTCAAAGAGACATGAACTGTCGTAGCAGTGGTTATTTCTGCTTCTGAGGATGTGTGACAGCCAGTTAGATGATCATTTATCAAGAGTGTTGGGGGAGCAGAAGATTCCTGCACTAAAAAGGCATCTGTCCTGACAGTGCCTTAGGGTGCTCGCAGGTCTCTGGTTCTGATTCCAGGTGCTTTTTCTTCTGTTGAGCTGGGAATGGCATTCATACCCTTTGATCTTTTTCTTTTCTTCCCCTAAATATGCTGTTGACTTTGCTTCTCTGGTCTGCTTTTTCTTTCTGAACATATAGACGAAGTCTTGTCCGAAAACTTTCTGGACTATAAGAACCGTGGAGTTAATGGTTCTCATCGGGGCCAGATAATCTGGAAGATTGATGCCAGCTCTTACTTTGTGGAACGTGAGTACTTTACCATTCTTGTTGCTCAGTGCACGTGGCTGAAACTGAATTCAACTGTTTTAGTCTTTGTTTTATTGCATTGCCTCCACTTAGAAAGGTACCATGTGGAATAGATTTAATGAGATCCTTAGAAATATTTTCAGGAGGGAGTAGTGAGCTCTAGAACAGTTGGGTAGCAGTCATCCAAACCAGACAAGATGGCCACTCCTTTAATACTGAAGAAAGTCTTAGTTCATGTTCATATCCCTTTAGACTCAGGACTGTTTGGCACACATCTCTTAACTGACCCAGTCCTTCAAGGCTCCTTGCCCATGGCCTACTATGTTATTGATATTCTCCACTTTCCCCTAGATTTTGCCTATTCCCACAACTACAGAATGGGAATGATAGCAATAATAGATTCTTTGATTTCTGACCTATCTGAATGTATAAACAAGTTTTTCCTTTGCTTGACCCAGTCCTTCAAGGCTCCTTGCCCATGGCCTACTATGTTATTGATATTCTCCACTTTCCCCTAGATTTTGCCTATTCCCACAACTACAGAATGGGAATGATAGCAATAATAGATTCTTTGATTTCTGACCTATCTGAATGTATAAACTTATTATTGTGTATCTTATTGAGGTATTTTCTAAAATTTTCTTCTGTCCTTGAAAATAAAGCATTTTTAGAGTTGAGATAGGACTTTTCCATAAGCCCCACTACTAGTCCTGTATGGGCTTCATGTTTTCTAATTAAAGACATGCACAGACTACCTTTAGTCCACAAATCCCTCTCTTCTGCTTAGGTGTGGGAGAGTACCTTAATAGACAAATCCCTTTATGCACTTTTCATTTATTGTCTACCTGGATGTGAGAGCTCTTAGCAGGTATTTATTAATTCATTCATTCATTCAATATAGCAGATCTGAAAGGAAATGGAAAAGTTTATTATTCTAGCTGCCTATCTCTCAGAGAAAAAAATATATGGTCAGGAATATGAAGTTTTCGTTGTCATTTGACTGGTGGTCCAAGAAAAAAGCTATCTTCTAACATGTTTTGCTTCCATTTTCATGCACTCTCATTTTCATTCATTCATTTACAAAACAGTTTGTAAAATTTACTCTGTTCCAAAAACTATGAAGATAAAATATCTGATGCCTGACCTCCAGAAACTTGTAGTGTCCCTGGTTCTAGCAATGACACCAATTAATACCTTTTTGTGTTGGTTATGCAGAATGATTAGAAAATCAGAAAATTTTATGCTGTCAGGGTACAGAAGGGACATGATTTTATGAGATGTGGTTGCTGACCTTGACTTTGAGATAGGAATAATAAAATTTTTAGAGAATTCCTTTTCTTCAGTAATTATCTCCCTTGACTCTAGCTTTACTCCTCTCTAATCCATCCCTGCACACTGACACCAGAGAAAATGCTTTAAACCGAATTCTGCTACCATTTGCCCAAAAGTTTCCTGGCTCCTTTTTTGCTACTGTATCAGCAGAAACCTACTTTGTCCAGCTGCCAAGGCCCAACATAAACTCATCTTCATCCCTCAACCCTACTTCTCCATACTCCCCAGCAGACATCCTTTGCCCTGGTCATACAGATCTCCTCCTTACAAATAGCATCATTTAGCAAAAGGAACATAGTAACTTGACTTGATTTGGCTATAAACATGACTCCAGCAAGTGATCTGTAATATAAATCTTCACAATTTCAGTAAGAACAAAAAAGATAAAAATTTGTGTTGGCAATCATTGTTAGACATAATTGACTATGCATACCAACCAACATTGGAAGTTTGGTAAGGTAAGTTTTCATTTTACTGTGGGCCTGTTTTCTTCCTTGAGTTCTAGTTTATTGAGGAAGAGGCACAAAGACTCTACTGAAGGTCAAGATTCAGTAGCAGTTCTTGATGGTAAAAGGCAAAAGCACAACTTGCAAGTTTTTATCTTTTTAAAATCAGGGACATAAATGTTAATGAAAAGGAAATCTTTTGGTGAGAATTTCAACATGCCCAGCTTAAGGTCAAGGGTCATGTCCCATATACACTTTGACGGCATTAAAATTTCCTGGTTTGTATACCCTATGAAGAGATGGGAATCTGTGTTGAAAATTAATTCAGCAATAGCAGTTTGTTTTTAAAGATTTCTGTGATATGTAGAAAAATTCCTGTGTATTTATCTCAAATTACAAACTGCTTCATGTGATCATCTGTATCAGCAGTATGAAAACACAGCTTAAATATTATTATAAAGACATTGAATATAAACCAACTCTTTAAGACATATATTTAAGTGAAAAGCATATTTGATAAGGTCTTGTGTAACAACTCAGGCTGGCCTTGAACTCACTATGGAGACCAAACTGTCCTCAAACTCCCTTCCCTCCTGCCTCCACATCCCAAATGCTGAGATTACAGTCCTGCATCACCACACTGAGCTAAAGAACAGCATCCTATAAAAAAAACAAGTAGCCTGCAAAGGTCACATTCAAAATAACTGAACCTGAACACCTTAGAAAAATTTAAAATATGTTCTTGGGTAAGCTTAGAAGATTCTTAGTATACATTGAGTGATCAATGTATTAAGAATGTATTATTCTACACTAATGTAATATAATTTATCAAATTATATAAATTTATAGCTATAATTTGTCAAAAGTAAAAATTTATCAAGACAAAACTTAATTGAGCTTGCAAATGATTTGAATATTTACTCTGGGCACACATATAAATTAAAATATTACAATGAGTTATAGCTTTAAAAAGTCTGAGTGAGCCAGATGTGGTTGTGCATAGGTTGTAATACCAGCCCTCAGAAGCAGGGTCAGGAGGACTATGAGTTCAAGGTCTGCCTGGGCTACATAACAAGACCTTATCTAAAAAGCAAAAAAGTAGGAATGTTTTAAAATTGTATATCATATGCTATATAAACTTATACTTTAAATGTAAAATAATTTGAATTTTCAAACATGTATGATGGAAAATGTGCCAAACAAGTAGGAAAAGATTGGATATTCCTAACATTCTGATACAGCTCTTCAACAACACCTCAAGCCATCAAAGGTCCTCTTGGACTACAAATGCAGAATCCAGGCCATTATCCAGAAAGTTACAGAAGTTTTTGTTGTAATCTAACAATAAGATTCTTTGTAGTCTCCTGATAATGATAAACACATTAATCTATTTAGTGAGTTATATTTTTAAAATAAAAAAATAATTTTGCTAACATTGAACACTGACCAGGTTTAGATCTATGAAGTAAAACAAAAGGTCCGTCTTTCTACCTAGGAATTAAATTAAAATGCTAAAACAAAATGAAGTTTTTCTTTCATCTTTGTTTTCAATTTTTTCTCTTTATTTTTGACTTTTATTATTTCTTTTAATGAGAGTGGCAGTATATTGCATATGACCTGGAGTCTATAATGTTTTAATAGCACATTTCATTTGGGGTTATGACTCAATTTAGAAGAATTAATTGCTATTGATTTATGCAATTCTTAAATGGTCTGTCTAAATTAGATTTTGTAAGTGCCACCAAGCCAGAAGTATTCCAAACAAATATTTTCTGTACTCTCCAAACAATTACATGCATGATAAAAATACAAAAGAATATAAAGCCTGAATCATTTCCTGTTCTCTGGCATTATTTTTTCCTAGTGAATAACTAGGATTTGACGATAGTAATAGTGCTTAATATAAGGACTGCAGAGATGCCAATTTTAACACTGACAAAGAAGAAACTGGTGAAAATTTAACTTTTCCCATCCCGATGAAATCTTACAATGGTGTATTATTAAAGGAATTTAATTATCACTTCTTAATAGACGTAACTGAGCCCAGCTGACCAGCCTTAAGGCTTCAGAAGAAGTTACCTTCTTGTTAGTGTACTCCTAACAGGAGTCCTTGGAAATTGGGGGTGTGGTTACCTAGAAACACTGGGGAGAGAAGGTAATAATGAGGGCAAGGCATCTTTGTCTTTATCTCTGGCCTAAATCTACTCTGTGTAGCCTATTCATCAAATTCTAGTAGGAAGAATTGAGTAGTATGACTGGAACAAGGCTGATTACAACCAAAAGAAACCTCTGCCAAAGTAGTTTCCTTTCTCCAGTGGCTCTGTGTTATCCAGTCATGGCACCACCTTCTAGCACTGTCATGTGATTGTTGTTCCTTGCCTTGGTATCCTGTCCTTAGCCAGGATCACCCATCCCTGATCCTGTCTCACCTTCCAGTTAACCTCTCAGATGCAGCCCCTTTGCCATCTCTGACCACACTTCCAACTTGGAAATCTGACCTAGATTCACACCCAGATTTCTGCATTGGTAAACTCCTTTTCAGCATACCATTTCCAAATCCTTTTCCACATTGTTATTTGTCTTCACCAATTTAGGCTACAACACTAAAATACCTTAGACTAGATAAATTATAAATAATAGAAAAATATTTCTCATTGTTCTGAAGACTGGGAACTCTAAGATCAAGGTTAGCAGTCTGCAAAAAACTGAAACTAGATCCATGTATATCACCCTATACCAATATTAATTCAAAATGGATCAAGGATCTTAATATCAGACCATAAACTCTAAAGTTGATACAGGAAAGAGTAGGAAATACTCTGGAGTTTGTAGGTATAGGTAAGAACTTTCTCAATGGAACCCCAGCAGCACAGCAACTAAGAGATAGCATAGATAAATGGGACTTCATAAAACTAAAAAGCTTCTGCTCATCAAAAGAAATGGTCTCTAAACTGAAGAGAACACCCACAGAGTGGGAGAAAATATTTGCCAGCTACACATCAGACAAATGACTGATAACCAGAATATTTAAGGAACTTAAAAAACTAAATTCTCCCAAAACTAATGAACCAATAAAGAAATGGGCAAATGAACTAAACAGAACTTTCTCAAAAGAAGAAATTCAAATGGCCAAAAAACACATGAAAAAATGCTCACCATCTCTAGCAATAAAGGAAATGCAAATTAAAACCACACTAATATTCCACCTCACCCCTGTTAGAA